CCGAGACCTGCTTCTCTAATTGTCATGTGAGGGGCTATGGTTTGCATATATGTATGTTTCTGCGTGTATGTCCATGTGCATTCACATGTGTACACCTGCTCATAGAGGTCTGAGATTGGTATCGAGAATCATTCTCCATTTTCTTCCATCTTACTCTTTGAGCTAGGGGTTCTCAATCAAACCCAGAGCTTGCCTATGTGGATGGTCTTGCTAGGCAGCTTGCTTTGGGATCCCCTTTCTCTGCTTCCCAAGGCTGGAGTTACATATGGACCACCACACTTCCCTAACATACATGCTTGAAGGCAAGTGTCCTAACTGCAGATCCATCTCCCAGTCCCCAGGAAGCTCCATTCTTTAGGATCATGATGGCCCTGGTCAGAAGTTTGCTGTTTTAGTGCTGTCAGCAAGAAAGAAACATGCAGTGTTGTTGGAAAGATGGCTCAGCAGTTAAGAGTGCTTACTGCTCCTGTGGAGGACCCAGCTTCAGTTCCCAACACTTACCCGGCCCCTCACAACCACCTGTAACTAGTTCCAGGGCATCTGACACCCTCTTCCTCCTTGAGCATTTGCATACATGTAGCACTCATAAATTCATGCAAGCAGACATACACATAAACGAACACACACATGTGTACACATACTTAAAAAAGAATGAAATATGCACATTTTCCTTTTGCGTTGCCTCTCCCGTGGTAGGTAAGCATTCTATCACTGGAGCCAGGTCCTCAGCCCAAACTTAGTCTGAATTTGTTTTTATAGGGCTGGGGATTGAATCCTGAGCCTTAGACATGCTAGGCAAGTGCTCTACTGCTTAGCCGCATCCCTAGCTCCCATGCATACTTTTAATTGACAGATCCAGGCCACTCTGCTTCATGATCAACCCAAGCATTTAGTGTCAAGCAGTTTCTGGTTCCAATACTAAACACTGACCTTAACTTGGAAGTCTCCATGGAAACAAGAACTCGTGTGCTGTCTGAGTCTGGACTTAGGTCAACTCTTGTCCTGGCAACCTGGCTTTATTGGGAGTGGTTGATGAGTGGCTTCATTTCTGTCCTAGCACACCTTTAGCAGACCTTCTGTGCTGAAGGTCTTGTCTTTTTCTGGCAGACACCCTACAGTTCCCCTGCTGTATAGCCTCCTTGTTGCAGAGAGTCAGTAAGAGCCAGACTCAAGGGCAGTCGTCTGGGGGAATCTCAGGCTGTGTGCTTAGCATCCCAACTCAGGATTGTTTTTGTGAGTCTCCAGCCTATATTTCTAAGCACTTATTGGAAAGATCTGGAAAGACCTTTACATGTTTCAAATGTAATTGATTAATACAGAATTTTAATCTTCTCCATGACGATAGCATGCTTCTTGCTTTCATTACCCTGGTCAATAGCCTTAGACTGCAGTTAGAACGCTAGCATCCCTCATGGATTCTTCCTCAATCAACTGCTGGCACAGTGTGGAGCGCACAGTAGGTTCTCAGTAGGTAGTTCAAAGTGGATGAGAATCTGGGCATCAGTTTCTGACCACAGCCTTTACCTTGGGCTCAGTGTCACCTCTGGGCCCTAACTCTTTGGAATGCCCCCTGCTTCACTTCAGGAAGAAACAGGAAGAGGTCTGGGTGTCTCTGGTGTGCTTTGTGGCATTTTCTTTGAGCACTGACCATGGCGTTTTTCCGCTGTTTGTTAGTTTATTTCTTTGCAGTCAGTGCTTTTGCCCGGGCCTGGATCGGCAGTCATTTGCAGAGGTCTGTAGAGCAAAATGTCTTCCCTGCACACACACACATAGTGGCTGTAGGAGAGAGCGACAGGGGACCTTTGGAAGTTTGGGACAGTATCAAGACCCCAGGGTGACTCGGAAGGTGGAAGTGTCATCTGGGGTGTCTTCTAGAAGCCACGTCTCTTGGTGCATTTCCTTGCAGATTCTTGCCTGCACCCCATGCTCATCTGCATCTCCCTTGACCTGATATTCTTTCTAATCCTACCTTCATTTTAAAGCTGCCCCCTACCACTGTCCCTTCAGGAAGCCTCACGACCATTGGCTGCTTATCAGTCCACATTCATAGCATGTCAGGTCCGTCTGGGAGTAGAAACCAGGAGCCAAAGAAGAGGAGGGGGGAGCATCTATGTGCTACCCCCAGTCTCCTAGAGCTTACCTTCAAGTGTATTGTTACTTGGGCAGGAGAGGTGGCTAGGTGGTTAAGAGCTCTTCTCAAGGACCAGGGTTCAGTTCTCAGCACCACATAGTGGCTCACAATTGTCCGTAACTCAGTTCCAGGAACCTGATGCCTTCTTCCAGCCTTGGGCACCAGGCATGCACATGGTACATACTGGACACTCAGGCAAAGCACTCATACATATAAAATAAAGTAAATAATTTTTAAAAGAAAAATATATTACTTAGCATACTGGTTTGCATTTACATTCATGAAAAATATAATTTTACCTTTTTTTTTGAGGCAGGGTCTCACCATGTAGCCCTGGCTGGCCTAAAACTTCTTATGGAGACTAGGCTAGCCTCAAACTGAAAAAGATACTCAGTGCTGGCATTAAAGGTATACACCACCACACCGAGCTCATCTGTAGTCTATTCAAGTCACCTTCTAGTTCTTGTCTCAGGGGAGCAAGGGGCACTTGCAACCACCGTTGTCTAGAGATGACCTGAAAGTCTGGAAACACAGCAGAGCTACACGCTACTACTAAGGACATCCTTAATCTAGAAGAGAATGAAACAATAGCACCTGCTTGTCTGTTTTGCAGCTGCCCTATACATTTAGGTATTTATCTTTTATCTTATCTACTTGAGAATTTTTGAGATACATTACATCCATTCACCCTCTTGTGCTCCAGTACAAGGACTCTGTAACTATTATATGGTCACTATGCTCAGGGAATTTAACATGGATGCAGTATTTTTATTATCTTTTATGTATATGGGTATTTCTCATGCGCATGTGTCTGCCCTGTTGGATCCCCTGGAACTGGAGTTATAGATAGTTGTAAGCTGCCATGTGGGTGCTGGGAACTGAACCCATGTCCTCTGCAAGAACAACAGGCGCTCTTAATCTCTGAGGCATCTTTCTAGCCACGTCATCACTTTCTAGAACCACAAAATGTATTAGTTTCATCTTATCCCTTCCCTGTCCCAGCCCTGGAATCAGCCAATGCTTGGGGGAAACCCTGGTTCTTTTAGGGACTGCATGTCATCTGGGCCTTTTGTTCATCTTTTCGTATCCATGTGTCTTGGAGCTGTAGCTTAGTCGGTAGAGTACTTGCCCTGGATATGTGTATGCCCTGAATTCAGTCCTTGGCACCACATAAAGAAATCCATCCTCTCTCTGTCTCTTTCTTTATTACGCTGGCCTCTCACTGCTGGCATGCATTTGATGAACTCATAATCATTTTTTGTATTATATTTGTTACTTGAACATGCAAGTTGACACGGTGTTCACACTTAGGAATCATCAGTCCATTCATGAACCGTGCAGTGGGCTCTCCTTGTACTCTTAGGGATGAACTTTTGCCAGGACAGTATGAATGCACATCGTGGATGTATTTCTGAAGTGGAGACTAGTTCCAGCCACTTGGGCTGGGGGAGGTTAGGAAAGAACATCTCTGCCTTAGGAAAGGTGCTGAGGCTTCATGTGGTCTCTGCTCTGTACAGGGGTGGGATGGAAGTAGTCAGGAGGGAGCTGCCCCGTGCAGGCATGGCAGGTGGGCAAGAAATGGTAGTGGAGAATAGGCTTGGAATGAGATCCTAAGATCCCTCAGGGACCTTGAAGGGTCTTAACTGGAAGGGCAAGGACTGGAGTTACTGCAGTGTGTGCTTCCCTGGTAAGCACTGAGGGGGTGAGTAGTGGTCAGGTCTCTCTTTCCTTCACTGTGCAGAGAGTGGGTATTTGGAGAGCTCTGGGACTCTGGGGAGGACTTTGGGGCCAAGCCCAGAGTGCATTGAGGCATGAACTCCCCAGTGCTTGCATCTTGTCCCTTCATCCCTGATCCAATGTCTCTTTTCAGTCTGAGCTCAGTCCTGCCCCATTGGCTCTGTCCTCAGGCAGAAGGCCCAGCAGCTCTGTTGCTTGGTTCCCTTTTATTGTACTTGAATGCCTGTGGCCTGCTTAACACAAAGCCCGTCTTTTCCAGAGTCCCTGCTCCTAGGCAAGGCTTGCCCCTTGTTCTGCACTTCACTGTGGCAACAGGGCAATGAGTTGAAGGAGGGTCTGGGCTGTGAGTTGGGGCTGCCATACTTGGGCTCTGCATGTGGGGAGCTGAGCAAAACCTTGGAGAGGGGCCCTGTGAGGGACAGGCAAGCTTCTCTCTCTGGAGTTCCTGAGCAAGGAAGGTACCCATGTGCCCAGGGATGCTTGGGTGCTTCAGAAGTGCCTAGACTAGATCTCAGAACAGCGGGAGGGAGGGGAAAACTTGGGGGACACCTGGAAGAAAGGTTGGAGAAGTCGTGATGTATCATTTTTTTTAAAGAGGTGTATGTGTCTGTGTGTTTGAGCACATGTGAATGCAGGAACCCTCAGAGGCCTGAAGAGGACTCTTGATCCCCTGGCACTCAAGTTACAGGCAGTTGTAAGCTACGAGATGTGGGTGTTGGAACCAAACTGAAGTCCTCTGAGGAGCAGCAAGTGTTCTTAAAGACTGAGTCATCTCTTTGGCCCCAGTCATGATGTATCTTTTGTTTTGTCTTTTTGAGACTGGGTCTCCTACTTAGCTGTGGCTGTCCTGAAATTCACTCTGTAGACCAGGCTGGCCTTACACTCACAGAAATCTGTCTGCCTCTACCTCCTGAATGCTGGGACTAAAGGAGTGTGCCATCACACCTGGCATCATGATGTCTCTCAGTGGTCTCTCTGAGTTGATTTTAGGAAGCTCCCAACCCTGGGATGAGCACTGAGCTCTCTCTGTGGCCTCCATCACTCACATGGGAAATCCTGGGGACTGTGGATGAGGGTATCGGTGTCCTGAGCTTGGGTACAGTCTCTGATCTCCTCTCCCCTTCTTCCCCAGACATCCTTCTACGGTCGATTGAGGCACTTCTTGGACATCATTGACCCTCGAACTCTCTTTGTCACTGAGGTGAGTCACAGCCAGCACTCTCAATGGAGGCCCCCTGGCCTTTGTGTCTTGTCACTTTGGAATGTGTGGGTCATCAGAAGGGATGAAGAGGTGAAGAGGGTAAGGAAGGTTATACATTTCTGTATTTGTCTAGCTCAGTCAATCAAGAAGGCGTTCCTACAAGTGCTGTGAGCCTTCCCCTGTGATTCCATTGGTGTTCACTGTACTCTTTTGAGACAAACAACATTTTTATTATTGAAAACCTTAGTGATATTGTTACCAATTATGTAAATTACATACTCAGCACAGAAGTTCAAATAGGGCCCAAAGATATAATGCTTGCCTACATGTGCAAGACTCTGGATTAGATCCCCAGCATGGCAGGGAGGGGGTGTATCACACAGTCTAGATGTGGTTATCTTCCTTGCTCAGTTCCCCTCTCTCCTAGGTAACCATCATGCATGGCTTTTAATATATGGTTTATTAAGGCATTATTTGCTGTTAAAATTGTGCAGTTGTATGAATTTTGACAAACATATTCAGCCTTATATTCATGGCCAAGCTCACATGAGAGATGGCTGAGTTGGATCTAAGTTCAGTCGCCAGCACCCATATGGAGCGCTAGGCACACACTTCTAATCTCAGTGCTGGGGCAGTAGAGCCAGTGTAACCCAACCAGTGAGCTCCGGGCCAATGGAAGACCCTGTTTTAAAGGAGGTAGATGACAAGCCCAAGGATGACACTTGATGTTGTCCTCTGGCCTCCGCATACACACATATACAAGCACACATGCAACTGCACACATAAGAACACCATATACACGTGCATTAAGAAAAAAAAAAGCCAGATGCTGTAGCCTTCCTGTAGAAGCTGGGGAGGTGGAGACAGGAGGATCACTGTGGTGCTCATGTGGATGATCTCCAGGTTCAGTGAATAAGGTGGAAACCAACTGGGGAAGGTACCCAGTGTTAACTGGCTTCTGGCCTCCACATGCACAATGCGCACACAAGCGCGTGCAGCCGCGCATGCGTGTGTGTCCATGCGCACAGAGTGTAAAGCATTTCCATCATCCTAACAGCTGACCTGTGCTTTGTTGGAGCCGGTCCTCTCTGTCCCCAGCTCCCATCCGTTTCTCATCCGTTTTGCTGTTTCTCGACTGTCGTGTGCTGATGGAGTTCCACAGCCACCCCTTCCCTCAGCAGCCCGCTTTGCCCTTCACTGTGTCGCTGTGTCACTCAGTTGTCTCCTAAGGCTGAGAAGTGCTCTGTGGAAATAGCGTCCTGTTTGCCCATTGGCTTGTCAGTGCTTGACTATTATGAACAAAGTTGCCATGAGCGTCCTTTTCTGGACATATGCTGTCTCCTTTCTTCCTCTCTCTCTTATATGCTTTCTCCTTTCTTCCTCTCTCTCTTCTGTTTTTGAGAGAGGGTCGAGCTGTGTAACCCTGGCTGTGCTGTCACTTGCTTTGTAGACCAGGTTGGCCTTGGGAACAATATGGCTAGTGCAGAAAGTGCATGTTTAACTTCTTGGGAAACTCCCGCATTGCTTTTCAAAGTGGGTCTGATCTCCATGAGACAATCCTGTCAATGACGTATGAGACTGCCAATGACTCCACTTCCTCACATGACACTTGCTATTATTGCTTGATCTTATCCAGAAGGCTGAGAAGCAATCAGTATTATTACATTGAAAAATTAATTCTTTGCAGGGCAGCTTAGGAAGTGTGTCTTTTCATATGAATTGAGAAATGAATGTGCAAATTCATATTCACATAAAGTAGTACACATTTATTAAACACATGCTGAACAAGACAGTTTGTGGTTTTATTTACATGCATGCATGAATGTGTATGTGTGTGTGTTCATGTGTGAGTATGTGTGTGCCATGTGTGTTCTGGTGACTGTGGAGGCCAGAAGAGGGTGTCAGAGCCCTTGGAGCTGAAATTACAGGCAGTTGTGAGCTGCCGAATACATGTGCTGGGAAATGAACTTTGGTCCTCTGGAAGAGACGCAAGTGTGTTTGACTGCTGAGCTATCTCTCCAGTCCTCTTGTTTTTAGTTTGTATTACATTTATTTATTTATTTTAGGTGTAGGTATGTCAAGGTGTATGAGCTATGGCATGAGTGGTAGGAATTGGTTCTCTCCTTCTACCTCGTGGGCTCTGGGGATCGAACTCGGTTCTCAGGCTTGATGGCAAGTGCCTTTACTCAAGTGAGCTGTCTTACCCCTGTATGTTTAAATTGGCACCTTATCTTTGCAGTCCCATGTCATGATTCTATACCCATGTACCTCTGCCATGTTTGTAGCAGAGTAACTACATTGGTACCTCTCAAACATTTGTCATTTCTCTGTGGTGACTGTGAATGTTCCACATCCATTAGCTTATCAGAATCACAAAAATCTGCCCCACCAGGGGCTGCTGTTACACATCCCATGCTACAGAGTGGAAAATCAAGGCTCATCATGCATGAAGTGCTGCCCTGGGACAGGATGAGAACAGGTACACTCGTTTGCAGACTTGTTCTCAACAGGTTTTCATTCCCCTTTAGAAAATCTGAGTTTCAGCTGGGCAATGGTGGTGCACACTTTTAATCCCAGTACTGGGGAGGCAGAGGCAGGTGGATCTCTGTGAGTTTGAGGCCAACCTGGTCTACAGAGTGAGTTTTAGGATAGCCAGAACTGTTACACAGAAACCCTCTCCAACAAACAAACAAAACAAAACAAATAAAAAATCATGAGTTTTGGGAACTTGGGCCAAGACCACTCAGCCAGCAGCAGACCTGAGCTCCACCCCCACAAATGCCTTCCCCTGCAGTTCCTCACTGACTGCCAGGGCTGTCCTGCATCTCTCTGCTGGCGGTGGCTCAAAGGCTCTGGGGTGGGGAGTGGACTTGCTCTCAAGCCAAGTCTTCAGATATTGCCTTTGGTCCTGTCATTTGTTTGTGGGTTTGGTTTTTTGGAGTAGGGTCTTGCTGTATAGAACTCACTAGCCCAAGAGAAGCTTCAAACTCACAGTCTTCCTGCCCAGGGCCAACTCTTATATTTTGAAAGACCCCAACACATTTGTATATTACTAACCCAAAGGTGTGGTGGGAGAAGTGCAAGGCTTCTGGCTACATGGGTGTTGAACCACCCCCTAGGGTGCCTATGGAGTACCCTAGTTATATAAGGTGTGGGAATCACCTGATGTGTGGTTTCCTATTATACCTCAGCAAGAACATAAGGCCCAGACATTTTACTAGCTGGTTTTATTGGCCCTAGTGGGCTACCATTCCTTGAAGGCCAAGTCCACTGCACACGTAGGCTTTGTCTGGATTTTCCTATAATGGAGGTGATTGCATAAACATTTGTAAGAGCAGCAACATTGAAAGTAAAAACTACTTTTTCCAGCTCAGTAATATTTCACCCTAGAAAGTTCTAGAATTATCTGTCTTAGTTAGGGTTTCTATTGCTGTGAAGAGACACCATGACCACAGCAGCAGTTTTTTTTTTTTTAAACCACAGCAATTATTATAAAGGAAAACATTCAACTAGGGCTAGCTTACAGTTCAGAGATTTAGTTCATTATTGTCATGGTGGGTGGCATCGTGACATGCAGGCAGATGTGGTGCTGGAGATGGAGCTGAGAGTTCTACATCTTGATCTGCAGACAACAGGAAGTGAACTGTGTGCCACAGTGCTTATCTTGAGCACAGTAGACCTCAAAGCTATCTCCACAGTGACACACTTCCTCCAACATAGCCACACCTACTCCAACAAAGTCACACCTAATAGTGCCATTCCCTTTGGGGACCATTTTCTTTCAAACCACCACATTGTCCGAACCCAGATACAATTATAGTTCTGAAATTCCAGTGGAAATACCACTTGCTTGGGGAAGAGTCTGTGGAGGCTAGTGCTTAACTTAAGGCTGGAGATGTAGGCGGTGGCCTTGGGGGCCTGGCAGGGAATGGATGAGGGCATGTGGGAGGCCCTTCAATGCTTTTCAGATGGCCATGAGTGGGGGTGTGGAGTGTGGGGTGTGGGGGTGGAGGTACTGTAGGACCAGATGCCACCCGTGCTAGGAACACCCCCCCGCCACGGTATCTTCCTTCCTCCACACTCAGCATTTCATTTGCTGTTGCCTTCCTTCATCTGCATCTTGCTTTTTGTTGTTGTTGCTTGTTTTGATTTTATTTTATTGTGTTCATTTTTTTTTCTAGAACAAGGTCTTGCTATTTAGTCCAGGCTGACCTGGAACTCACTAGGTAGCTCAGGCTGGCCTTGAACTCCCTATACTACTCCTGCCTCAGCTTCCTAAGTGCAGGGATTACAGGCATGCACTACCACTTTGTATTAATAAATAGTAATCAAACCTCATGCCCCTTTCCCATTAGCAGTTAAAATGTCAAAGCAACTCAAACACTTACTAATTAGAAATTATCCCAGGCAACAGCAACTCCAGATGTTGTTGAGGTTGCACACACTTCCCTCCTAGAGATCTGCTTCCACTGGATCTGCCTGTCCCTTCTCTGCCACACTAGAGTGGAGGACAGTCTCTCGGAGCGCATGCCAGCCTCTTGGGAAATTAGTATTTCCAGGAAATCTTGAATCCCTCCCTAATCCCCAAGGTCCCTGTGTGGACCTCCAGGCTGGCAAGGCAGCAGTCTCATCCCTCTCCAGAAACAAAGGAAGCGAGAGGAAGCAGTCTCTAACCGTAGTGTGCTCTGCTGGGTTGCGGGACACATGGCATGCCAGGTCCCCCATAGGCTAGAGCTCATGTCTATACGACCCTGCTTCACTCCCCAGCCAGTGGCTGGTGTGCTGCAAGGGAGTGTTGGGTGGTGACTGCTTGGTTGGAGATCTAAGGGTAGGAGGACAGTAGAGGACATGAGAAGGTAGCTATGTAAGCTGAAGGTCCCCAGCCAGGAATGATCCCAGGCAGCTTAAGCCACATGCAGTCCCGAATCTGAGGCCATCTTGGAGCCTGTGGATGGGATCATCTTCAGAAGGTTTTGCAGCTGTTGGCTTGCAATTTATAA